GCCTGGTTATAACACTGGGCGGCGTACAAAGGGTTTGAGCTATGCATAACTCGGCCGGCAGCAAGATCAATGACACGTACACTTTGATTCAGTCTGTATTTCCATAGCAGCAGAGTGTGGGAATGTTCCTATGAATAGTTCTAGAAAAAGCAATATACTGGCATTAAAATATTCATGGCAAAAACATGAGTTTGGCCTGATTATAATACAGTATAAAAGTGTATAGGAAATTTCAGTGGGTTTCGAGTCTTGGTATTCGACATTTCGGTTTTAAATTTTACAGAATAGCTCAATAACAAATGACAGGATATAGTATTAAAATTAATTCATAATAATGAAATGAAACTTATGACAAAACATAAAAAAGAGACTTGTCGATAAATTACAGTACATCAAAATCACGAGATAAACCGACGCAAACAAGTAGAACAAAAAAGTCGGAAAACGAACCCTAATTCGCGAAATGGAATCGTCCAAAATTTTTGATCAGTATCTTGAACCACTACGCGTACTGTACATATTTTTACGGCGATTAGTACAACCGTGTCAAAATACCACGCGTAGTACGTGTACTACGCTTACTACACGTAGTACGCGTACTACATGTACTACGCGTACTACGTGTAGTACGCGTAGTACGTGTAGTACACGTACTACGTGTAGTACGCGTACTACGTGTACTACGCGTGGTATTTTGACACAGTTGTACTAATCGCGGTAAAACTGTGTCAAAATACCATGTACAGTACGCGTAGTAGTACTCTTGAAATTAATTCCCTTTTTCTCGGGCCATTCTTCTTTTTAGCTATCATACTTCCTCCTCTCTCTGGCTACAGGAAATTATGAAGGGGGGTGGGTAAAAATGGGGGTCCCAGAATTTCCCCCCCCCACAAAAAAGGGGGTCCCAGAAATTTTGATTTCTAAATGACTGGAAATGTCACTTTGTTGACTTCTGAGGTGTATTATTAGTGGCTTTTAATTTCCTCAGAATTCAAGGTTTTCCTCCTCTTAAAATCAATCAGGCAAAAGCAGGATATGATTTAATGCAGCCAAAGTAGTGGGGTTTCTTAGTCCCAAAAAATGGCATGATACTTCAAATTTGAGTAGAAGCATGAAACTTATGTATGTCAACTCACATTTTCCACTATTTTCATGTTTGTAGGACGTATATTTACTTACTTAAATCTACAGTACATAGTTAGAAGCAAAGTGACCAAATTCTTCAGTAATTAGCAATGCAGTAGCACAGAGAACTCTACTTATTTTTTTTTAGTAATTAAAATTCATGCATATTCCTATAGGGGTCAGTGCATTTGTCCGAAGGTCAAGTTTTTTTGGGTTTTTTCAGCTCAGACTGAAATTCCTTGATATCATACTTCTATTCTAGCAGGTGGACCAACTAAATGTTCAAATAAGTTGGAAAAATATTTGGTATTACATGTATATTTCAACCAATATAATAGTCACATAAATGTCACACAATTATTTCATCAAAACACTATGGGATATCTCGTTATTTTCCCGGCGTACAGCTGCGAACATGTATTTCTGATAGGGCCGGCATAGTACGCAAATATCTCTTAAAGTATTCAGTTTTGGGTACATATTCCTATTAAAGTTGAATAGGAAGTAGTACTTCTCCATCATTTTAAACTAATTTTATGTTTGAAGGACGTAGATTTCTCGAGTTATGAGGAATCGGCATTTTTATGAGGTCAAATATCAAATCTGAAATGCTCTCAAATCTTAAAATTGTTGAATTGCCAATGTGAGTTTGTATACCAAGTTTCCTGCTTCTATCCCAATTTGAAGTATCAAGGGTCTAAGGAACCCACCTAAAGGGGGAAAATGACCCAAAAAAGAGAATGCAGGAGTATCAGAAGCTAATGTGGGCCTAGACGTATCACACATAACCTCTGCTATACTGTCATCAGTCCTGTTGATCTGTATTTAAGAAATATGGGCCTGTAGGCATACTGTAGAACAAAATTATGCTCATGAAAATGTTCGGCCTAATAATAAAAAAAAAATGTATCTTCGTATTCCTATGCTCTTGGAAGAACAATAAAAACAACACAGAAGACAATACTAAATAATGTTTGCCTCTTTGTATTATTCTATTACTAGCTGTGTACCCGTCCTTCGGACGGCGGTAATCAAAGCAAACTAAACGCAAAAGACTGATTACAAAAAAGTATTTCATATCGTGAAAAAAGTATTTCATATCGTGGTGCTATCGAATGGAATAGATTTGGCACTGATGTACAGTCTTCTATCAATTTAAGTACAGTATTTTCAAGAACCACATATGTATTAATAATTGAAAGCAAAGTATAATAGTATTGTACAAATCACTAATTTAATGTTTACTTGTTTTGTTTTATATACATTTTACAATTCTTTTCGTAATTTACAGTTACTTTTGTGGAGTGAATTTTCTTCATTTCGATAATTTATTTTTGCCATTTGTTATGTATAGATTACTTTTATTTTACTAAATTATTGACTTTCTATCTACATTATTTAATTTGTGTGTTTAACTTTTGCTTTCTGATTATGTACCGTACTGTGTAATCTATGTTAATTAAGTAAGTTACGGTATCTCACGACCACAATGAAACACAGCATTATATTTGTTGATTTGTGCTTCGTGAATAAATAAAGTTTTACTACTACATTGGTGCTCTAGTTGTCATCGTTGGTGTTATGGTGGAACTGAAATAAAAACTGAACGTCTGTGTTCGTAGCTGTCGTCGTCATCATCATCATTCTCGTTAGCTGAATCAATGTCATTAAAGAATTGAGAGAAATCATCATCATAATGGAAGCATTAAAACAATTAACAGAAATATTTGTACATTACAGATCAAGCCTGTGTTTATTCAATAATCATCGTTTTATTATTTGGGTGGGCATAAAAGTATTTTTAATGTATTTGTTTCTTAAACATTTCAACATACAGCAGGGGCTGATCAAGAATTTTTCAAATGTGAAAATTCAGTGAAAATTTGGTTGAAATCGGCTCTGTAACAAAGGAGAACATCCCGGACACACAAACCCCAATTTGCCTTTTATAGATTATAGCCTTCATATAGATACACCACTCCTATGTTTTCCATCGATGTAAAGATGTAATTTCCAAAATAAATAATTATAAATAATATTAGATGCAGTTCAGTAGATTTGAGTATTTGATACGCACAGTAAATTGGTGGCGCTATACAACTAATTGGTTTACGATGGTCATGATGCTAACACGTGGTGTTTTGACACAATTTTACCGTGAGTGGTACAACTTTACTGTACATATTGTTTTGGACGCACCTTTGATTGAGAAGTGTGCCACTGATTGAAAAGTGTAGTTCCTAATAAATTATTATTATTATTCAATTTTGTTGTTGATAATCAAACAAAGACCGCATGAAAGTCAACGTTTGACTTAGGACTGCTTAATTCCGAACATAAACCGAAAATGGATTGTAATTTTTGTCGGCTAACTCTCCTCTTCAACAACATCATTATCATTATTATCATTATCGTCATGATAGAGCACAAGCATGTCTCGATTTGATTTCAGTAAAACCACTGGACAATATGAACCGAGTGTTCCTTATAACAATTATAATCACACTCATCATTGGAGCAACACTTGCCAGTGCATACCAGGGTGTCCTAACAAAACTTCTACGAAACAAACACAAAATGGAGGAAAAGCGGCTGGATAAAGGAGAGCAACTGATTCATTACAGTCAGGTTAAAATTATTTACTCATTCATTAAGCCCTCTATAGACTTTTAGTTGACAAAAAGAACTATTGCATGCCCAGATAGTCGTGGTGCCTATATATGGTCATGGTGTGATGTCACCATGACCATACTTAGGCATGTCACATGTTTTTGTCAAACGAAATTTGACAGTCTAGACAGAGCTTTAGATATTTCATTCATTAGAAAAAGTTTTCGCTCGAAATAATGCATGAATTTGCCGTAAATATACACTTAGGGTAAAAACCTATTGATTTTTAAGCCTATTTAATAGGCTTAAAATCAATATTTAATATTGATAGTATTAATTTTATTTATTTATTTTACTCGGCGTTATGCACTGGGCCAATGATATACCAAAGAGTGAACTTAATCACTCTTCAAAGTGACAATTCCCTCACAAGCCAAACATACACACAAGCTGTTTTACATAAACTTATATAATTATTTATAGAATTATTAAAATAAAAATTTAACCTGTATTTAACAATCAAAGACATTTGTATTAGCCTTTGACAACGAGAAACATCATTTCCACATGTAATTTCCTACGAAAAGGATGAAATAAATTTAGTCTATCTGTGTCTGTATCTGTAGACCAAGTCTCATTAGGAGTGTTAGGGAGTGGAGTTGTTCTGGTCGTGAGAAAGAATCATGTAATTCCGTGACAGGAATTGAACCCTGGACCTTGAGATTGGAAAGCAATCATATAAACCACCAAGCTGTTATAAGCCACTATTGACTCCTACATAATTTTTACTAGTTATTCATTGAGCCATATTGATTAAACATACTTTTATGTTGATATAATTATAATATCTACATTTAAAATACAATCACAATATGCCTATAATTTAGAAGGATGCGATTTTATCAATTGATCTTCCTTGAATTCGACGCAGTGTAATCTCCAAGGGAGTTGGATAAACGAGCTCAATTCAACAGTTAACATTACTGTGACGGAAAAGGGTCAATTGATTGGAGAATACCATACAGCAGTTACATCAGGAGGTGGTCCTGGTAAGTATAATTGAATACTTCAACTTACTGTATATTAGTCAAAAGAAACATTTTGCGGATAAAAAAGAATTAAAAATGACATCACAGAATCCCTAATTTATTACGCAAAATCATAATTATTAAAATAATGATTATGATGATGAGGATGATAATGATAGTGACATGATGATGATGATGGTGGTGATGATGATAATGATGTTGATGATGACGATAATAAATTATGATATAGATGAGGTGGTGCATTGGCGGCTGCGATTATGGTGACGACAACAACGGCTGCTGCAATAATGTTGATATGGTTATGGACACTGCATTGATTGGGACGGTGATGAATGATGGCTGTGTTGGTTGCGGAAACGGCGGCAAAATTGAAATGTTGATGATGAACATTATAAAACTAATTCCCAACACGGTTGTTTTTTTTTTGTTTTTTTTTACAAGGGGTTACTTTTCCACTTATGGGGCTAACTTCGCCAGGGGAATCATATCGTACCTTTGGCTTCACTGTGAATTGGCATTATTTCAAATCAACTACAAGCTGGACTGGCCAATGCTATACTGACTGCACTGGAGAACAAGAAGTGTTGATAACCACCTGGATTCTTACAAGTGAAAAGTCTACCTGTGGCGATGATTGGGAGGCAAACTTGTGAGCTTTCAAACGCACTTTAGGCTATAATAACTACTTCTCTATCATTCGGAATTCACTGGTTTTCTTCGGTGTGAAACTCACCAAAGATAACAAACGAATGTCCGTAGAATTAAGCTGGGCACACACTGCGCCAAAAATCGTCGGCCGACGCGCGACAGAGGGAATGCGGCAAGGCGCGCAAACGGATCGCGGTTTTACCGACAATCTGCTCAGTCTGCAATCGGCAATCAACAGACGGCGTTGCGTCGTCATTGTGCTTAAAAGGAGCGGAGATTGATTCGTAGGTGACCGTCGCAGTGTATGCTCGGCTTTCTTTCCAGTGTAGTTCTTGTGGAGATAGGCTGTACACCCGAAGATAATACAATCCTTGCATATTCGTTCTTTAATGTGGACATGCCATTATACACACGGACGAATGTCTTGAACGTGTTAGTGAATTTGAGAAACTGAAAGACATGTGCATTATAAACTCCTTTTAAATCATCTCATTAATTCACTTTTTGAAATAATATTTATCAAGGCAGCTGGTGACTTGAATTAAGTTTGTGTAATCACGGTGGTGGTTTTCAGTCTGCGAATTATAATCTCATAAAGTACTGAAATATTATTTGTAGAGAATATTAGAGTATGTTATGGCTGTCTTCTAAAATCACATTTTCAGTTACCTTAGTCATTCTATCAGTTCGGTTAAATAAGGAAATTAAGACCGATTTGTCCTAGAATGATTTTTCCCAAGGGCTATGAAATAACTTCATGTTCACTGTATGGTGATCCACTAGACATGTTGTAATGTTTTACAATAAATTATTTTATGTTGCTTTTTACTGTACACAGTGCCATACGTTCAGAAATGCCCAAGACGTAGCCGATCCATCCAATGAAGCGAATCGTCCTTCGACAGTGGTCCATGAGGCACACACTAAATTCAAATTCCACAAAACGTTTATATGGTGATATCGTATGTTAACAACACATTTTTTTTTGTCATTATAGGGTTGGCAAAGATGTGTTTACCCGATACAAACCAGGCACCACTCAAACACCATCATAAACTACCATTTAGGAAGTTTGGTCAAATCAGCTTGCAAGCTACTGTTTTGGTGACGGTTTTAATACAACAATAAGCGGTTTTTTAATTAAGATTAATATTATTAATATACTATGTCTACTGAGAACACATCGCTTAATAGTCAAGTGCCATTATGTAGGCAGCGTCTGACGTCATAGACTCATACATAGGCCTATATAAGGCCTACTCAAAAAATGTGTTCTATTCAGTCAAATTCATTAAAAAATACATTATTTTAGTTGCTGTAGGCATTGTGGTGTTGGGGTTGGGGGTTTTTTTTAATCTCAAAGTAAGCGTTAGTTAGTTACACATCACATTACCGAAGTGGCTTAGCCTACTTCATGCTTGAATTACGAAAAAAATATTTAACTACACAAATATGCTTTTATCTTTCTGTTTAAAGCAACACTTCACCTAATAGGCATGGCGTTATGTGTATCATGTAGGTCTAATTTTAGACTTCTGTCATTTTATAACATTAATTAATTAATTAAGATACATACAGACCTAAGACCTACTCAAAATGTTTAATCAAATACCTGCATAATTCATTAAAAAATAGAATAGAAAGCAGCATATTATAGGCCTATTAGTTGTTGTTATTGGTGATTACTATAATAAGTTTTGTGTGAGTGGTTTGGTTTTGAAATCACAACGTAAACGTCACATAGGCCTATCACAGTTTACCGACACAAGTTGGAACCTGCCTTCCGGACGCTGGATGAAAACTAATGATATGAACACTCTGGACCGACCCCCTCCCCCCCCCCTACAAAATCCCTGGTATTCAAACTATAATTTGCGACCCAAAATAGGGTCCCTCATATATTTTGTAGGGTCGCCCACTATTTATGAAAAAAAAAAAATCTTCCTCTTGGAAATTGCTTTTTTGTTTCGATTAAAACATTGTAATGACTTTATATGAATCAGATCAGTCGTTGTCAATAAAACGAGTTTAAGAAAAGCAGTAATAAAATATAGGTGCTAATATGGGACTAATCAGAGGGTGCTGACATCATTCTCCATCGACAATAGGTTTTACGTGGATTTTTTTTTAATGTAAAACTCCGATCTATTCATTCATAAAATAAACTTAAAAAGTTACAATAATGATGTCGTAACAGTGTGTCACATCGAAATAACAGTGGGAAAAATACAGTTATCAATCTGGTGCTTTCTCTTTGAGTAAATCTTTTCAAACATACCGATAGCATGCAACAAGCAGTTGTCAATTTGCAAATGATTAACATGCATTCACCCAATTGGTCATCTTGTAAACATTAAGATGTTGAAAACGTTTTTGTCTTATCTATTTAAATATACTCAAGAATCTTTACTAAATAAAAGGATGGGGTGCTGATGTGTTCTAAATAGCTGTGGGAAAAATAACAATATCAATCTGCTGCTGATATCTCTCTCAGTGATTCTCTCCTTGAATAGCTATCTTTTCAGACTGATTAAATTTTGATTAAGTTGCATACATGATGTCTAATACAGAAGATAATTTATAAGTTGATAACTTATCATGATTCATCATTCGGTCAGAACCAGGTTGGAAGTCACTCCAACTATATCGCACCATATATTTGTTGAGACATTAGACCTTATTATTTATTTATTTATTTTATTTTCAATCTTTCGACAAAAACAGAAAAGTTGGACAGGGGTTCCGAGGAAAAGCAAAAGTTAGAAAAACTGTCATCAAAAGATGTGCTTAACCAAACCACTCCCAACAAAACAATACAAAAGTTTAAACATTAAAATGAACGAAAGTAAAAAATAAATAAAACAACATATTAAAATTTTAAAAACATACAAAAAAATAAAAAATAAAAATTAAAAAAAAGGTTTAAATACAATTATAACTTCCATAAACAGTATTAAGTCATCTACAGAATTTTAAAATGCAACCGTCACAAGAAATTGATAAAATCAATCAAGTACATTTCGTCAAGCAGAATATAGCAAATTTAAAAATCAGTAAAATGATCCTTTAAATTCTGTTTAAACATGAAAAATGGCTCCTCAATAAGATTATTTCTTATAGTAACATTAAGTTCAGAAAAGGTTTTCGGAAATCTAACTACCCCACAGTATTTAAGAGTATCAGTACGAGCTTTAGCATGATGGAAGGTAAGTATATCTTGATGCCTATTATTAATTTCAAATAAATCGACATAACCCCTCATAAAATCAGATCGTGGAGAAATGAGTAACTTTGCAATGAATGTCATGTTTAAAAAGTTTCGCCTATTCTCAACAGACAGTTGACAGCCTAACTCAGTTCTTCTATCATGATAAGACTGGTCTAAATATCCTTTCATTAAAATCATGCAAGTAGCTCTCCGCTGTACTGATTCCAACTGCTTTATATGTTGGGTTTTTTTCGGTACACCCACCAAACCGGGGAACAATAATATAGACAGGGAATCACAAGTGTCTTATATAGGTGAAGAGCTACATCAACTTGGGCATTAGATGCTATAAGACGTATAAGGCCTATGATACGGTTACAATTTGACACTGTATTTTGAACGTGTCCCATGAGTCCCATGACAAATTATTTTGAATAGAACAGCCTAAAATTGTTAGTGAGTCAACACAATCCAAGGGTATATTAGAGATGCTATAACTGGGTTTAGGATATCGTCTCCAGGTTAAACGCATAGACTTGCATTTATTAGGATTTAATTGAAGAGAATTTTTTTTCGCCCATGTCTCAATGCAGATTAAATCATTCCGAATACCTGGATCCGAATCCCTAGTAATTACCTTCCGAAAAATGAAAACATCATCAGCATATTGAATAATGCTTGATGAAACATGAAGATGCAGATCATTGGCATACATGACAAAAAGTAACGGACCTAGTACCGATCCTTGCGGTACCCCAGATTTTACAGGCAACCAGTCCGAGTATTTCCCCCTATATACAACTTGCTGGAAACGGTCCGAAGCAAACGAAGTTATCCAATTTAATGCAGAATCACTAATATTATAAGTTAACATAAGTTTGCGAATAAGTATACCGTACTGTGCGCTATCGTATCGAACGCACGACTAAAGTCCAGAGCGGTGAGATCAACGGCTGGAGTTTTCGAATCGAGCGCACGTAACCAGTCTGTCGTCGCTGACACCAAGGCAGTGGTACAGGAACGACCCGGTAGAAAACCGTGTTGATGGGCTGCCAAAAGACCATTGCTTAAGCAGTGATGAAGGATCTGTTGGAAAACGAGTTTCTCCAAAATCTTACACACAATCGACGTAAGAGAAACTGGCCGATAGTTGACAGGGTTAGTTTTGTCTCCCTTCTTGTAAATGGGAGCAACGTTAGCACGTTTCCACATATTAGGAATTTGACCACATAAAAGCGATTGGTTAAAAAAGTTCGTAATTACAGGAATAATTACCGGACAAGCTGACTTTAGCATGCGAGCACTCAATCCATCGGGACCACAAGCTTTATTTGTTGCGGCGTTTTTAATAGCGGATTCCACCTGGCAACACGAGACACTGAAGATGGTAAGAGCTGGTATGTCCAAGGTGGGGGAAGTGAGGCTGCCAGATTCAGTGGAGTTACTAAAGAAACTAACAAATAACTTATTAAACTCATTTGCAATCCGAGTAGGGTCCTTAATGTTAATACCATTAATCACGAACCAATCGATAAGTTGAGAAGACTTGCGCTTACTTTTGACGAAAGACCAAAAAGACTTCCGGTTATCTTTCTTTTTGAAGTCTTTTTGGTCTTTCTCTTAAAACTCAACGGACCCCTTTCAAAGTATGAAAGAACATTCTAATTCATACTTCTTAATAACACAAAGAATAAAATGGTACAAAGAATGCAAATCGTAATAAAGGAGTAACTCTGGATTCAAATATTGTAAAAGCTTAACTAAGATAAATTCATGATTTTAGAAGCAAAATCGGTGGGATTTAACTTCGCTTTGTTGCTACTGGAGTTTACTGGTACATTTTCAAGATATTGGGTCTGGTTTTAAGTAAGTACCTTTTTTTGAATTGCTTCTAAATTTAACAGGGGACATATACAAGTGAATAATGAAATTCGTCACCCTTATTGAGGTTACACAACATACATTTGGTATCAATATCATGACAGAGGCATCTTTTTTGAACAGATAACGTATAATTACCACACCTGAACTTACATAGATTATTTCTTTATCGAGTAACGTCATTAGTGTTTTTTCGAACTCGGCGAGTTCGGATATAATATTTCTATAATTTACACACATTTTGTTGACGTTTTCCTTCAAAACGCAATTAAATGATAAGGACACGATTAACACAATAATATTTATTTTTTTTAAACATTTACAAATTGAATTTTTTAGACTTATAATAAATAAAGAATATGCCAAGCCAATTTAAAGGTCTTTGCAAGAAATGAGAACGGTATATTTAGGCCTATTCGTCGTTAAATGGCGAAGCAACGTCGTTACAATTTCCAATAATTTTCAATTTTAATTTTTTTTTTATAAAGATAATAAAGACCGTATGAAAGATTTTACTTAGGCTACTTATGTCGGACCACAAACAGGCAAAATGCAAAACTTTAGTTTTTGTCTGCTAACTCTCCCCTTCAACAAAATCATCATCATTATCGTCATCGTCATTGAGGGTGGCGCCAGTGGGAGGACCAGGGCTGCCACAATTCCTCGAGGAGAAAAAACATAGGCCTATATATGTATATTCTATATACATGTTAGGCCTAAATTGTCACATTTTTCGGGGGCTTCTCCCCCTGGAACCCTTTCGATTTGAGCGACGCTCGAAAGCACGCCCACTTTTTTTCCGTCAGGGACATCGCCCCCCCCCCCCCCCTGGGCAAATCCTTTCTCCCACCATTGGGCAAATCCTTTCTCCCACCACTGTCCTCATGTTGAAGAACTAGAACACATCTCGATATTTTAGTAAAACCAATGGAAAATATGAACCGAGGAGTACGGTACTACTTATAACAATAGTACTCATAATTGGGGCAACACTGACCAGTGCAAGGTGTCCTAACGAGAAGTCTACGATACAAATATGAAATGGAGGAAAAGTGGCTGAATAAAGGAGAACTGATTCATGAAAGTCAGGTAAAGAACATTCACTCATTCCTTAGGTAAGCCCAGTCCAGATGGTTTTGTCAAATAAAATGGTATAGTCTGGATGGAGCTTCAGTATTTTCATTCATCAACACAAGTTTTCACTCGAAATATTGTTTGGTAATGCTGTAAATGTACACTGGGTAAAAATCTATTGAATATTTCCTACCGCCAAAATCGCCTACCTATATTTTTACTAATTATTCAATGAGACATTTTGACTTGTATTAAAGAAACTATATAAACATACTTTTAGGTTGCTATATGATATCAAGATTTACAATACAATTACAATATAGGCATATTAGTCAAAAAAACAACAAAAAAAAGGGGGGAGGGGATGCGATTGCACCAGTTGGATCTTCCTTTGATTCGCCCCAGTGTAGTCTCCAAGGGATGTGGATAAACCAGCCCGGGTCATTAGTTTATGTATCTTTAATGTGACGAAAGAAGGCTACTTGAGCGGAACATACCATACAGCAGTAACATCAGAATGTGGCCCTGGTAGGTTTAAATGAATAACGGATAAACACGAATTTGTATCACAGAATCCTGAACTTATTAAGCAAAACTCTAATTAATAAAATAATTATTATGATGATAATGATGATGATGTTGTTGTTGTTGATGATGATGATGATTATGATGATGATGGTGGTGGTGGTGGGGATGATGATGATGGTGATGATGACGGCGATAAGAATGATGATGCCATCATATAGATGTTGTGGTGATAAAAAGACGGCGACAATTCAATTGCCTTTCTATTGGTTTAATTTAGATTAGGCTAAATAGTGCTTAAAGACATATTAGAGGAGAAGATAATATAATTTGCATTTGTGATGATGAGGATTTGTTTGATAACGACTGATTTTGTGACAATTTTGTCGATGACCTCTAGTTTTGGGTAATGACGTAATTATGGCTTAGTAAAAAGGCAATCGATTTCGTTAAAATAATGATCATGGTTTTGTGATAAAAACATTTTTGATTATGATAATAATAATGAGATGATATTTAATAATTGTTTACCCCGGAAAAAAGTGTTCAAATTTGTGTCCCATA